CTCGCTATACGGCTTTTCCATCACGCGATTTAGGTCCTCGTGCAGCGCATCGAGCAGCCATTCAAGCAGCTCTTGCGAATCGTGCTGCCCACCGCCAGCGAACTGTGGCGCATGTTTGTTCACACAGAAGCGCAGCTTTAGCGGAGCCACAGAGCGTGTCGTTGCCGTCCACACCTCCTTGAGTAGCTCCGCATAGCGCATGGCTAGTTGGCCTCGTGTGCCCAGCTTGTTGGCTGCATTCAATTCGAAGCGGTGCATCTGACGATGAAAGTATTGGGCCAGCGGCTGGGTATTGAAGAGCACTTGGAGTGCCGCATTCATGAAACAGGTGTTGCCCAGATTATGCAGCCCAGTGGCCCCTGGTGCGTGCACGGACATGATGGAGCTGCGCGTTAGACGCCTCCGGTCGCCAGGACCGACACCAGCTTGTCCGCTTTGCGTGCTGGCCAGCGAGCTGAGCTCCTCGGGCCAGGTAAGATCTTTGTTACGTATCTCTAGCAGCAGCTGATCGTTGTCACGTATCAGCAGCTCTTTTAGGCACATGGTATCCTCCTCCAACAGTATGGCACTATTATCCAGCGATGCGCTCGACGGCGGCACATGCCACAGTCGTATATCCTCCGGCTTCAGGCGCAGCTGTTCGCACAGGAACTCTCCCACTTGACGCACTGTGGCCAGCCGGCTAAATGAAGCCGTATACGCCAAATAACGCTTGGGCGGTTGAGGCACGCTACTGGCTGCAATGGCCGCATAGCCGCCGCCAGACGCCAAAACGCCGTAGCCACCGCTAGTTGTTGAGCCCCAGCTGGTAATTTGTGTGCCTACGCCGCTGCCATTAGGCGCAGTCTGCACCTGGTGCAGCAGTATGCGTAGATTCAGTGGATACAGCTCTAGCTCTACCTCGGAATTTGGTGGTTGTATCACCTGCAAGAGAATAAATGGAGCTTAACTCAAGAAAGGAACACCGATCAGCTGCTTACCTGTCTAGGAAGCGGTAGATTGTCGCCATACCAACGATTCAACGCTTTCCATAGCGACTTCGGCACCAACTCAAAGTCGTGATTTTGTACAAGCGGCGTATCGCGCTTCAGATGCCCGCCTTCGCCGGTCAGAGTGCGTACGTTGCGATAGGGATTGGTGGTAATTAAATTGCTATTATCAATAGGACCCGGGCGGTGTTGACCACAGTGCCGGCCGGCCGAGATGCCACTGCTACCGGATACAGATCCCAGTGAATAACTATCGTGTTGCTCGAGGCTGTGCGTATTGAAGCTTTCGTCACAGACGAGCGCTTCATCAACAGTGCTTCGCTGGCTAGCAGTCCGCTTGCAGTAGTCGCATGTTTGAGACGTGTGCTGCGTGTACTGCATCCAGGTGAGCCACCAGTCCCGTGATATCAAATACCAGAACTGGCCAACTCGGTAGGGGCGTCGCTCTTCGCGCTGCAACCAGCCGCGGACAATATCGTACTCCATGTGCTTGCATTGCGGCCACAGACCAAACACTATGTGGCACAGCTCGAAGATGAGGTCCAGCAGTGGCTGCATTAGCCGTAGACCGCCCTGCACGTTCCATATCATGAAATCCTCTGCTGTCAGCGAAACATTGTCTCGAGTAAGTGTGCTGGGCGTGCCATCTGGACTCCTGCGCTGGGCAAACTCCAGCAGATCACTGATCACATGCTGCTTGGTTAAGTCCTTAAATTGCTGCGCATCGCGATTTTCCTTGGCAACGAATAACAGCACGTTGATCATTTGCAGCGTCTCCTCGTGATTGAGAACACCATCGCGATCTACGTCGAAGATCTTGAAGCAGACTGTCGAATGCAAAGAAATGGATCAGCCTGAGTAAGCACTGTTTACAGGGTCACTTACAGCGGGTGCGCTCCACACCGGGTCCACGACAGGCGGCACTTACGCCACAGCAGAGCTCCTTGAAATCGATGTGGCCATCACGATTCTCATCAAAGGCATTAAAGAGACCGGCAAGCGCATTCTTGGGTATCGGTGGACTAATAAGCGGTCCCAAAAATTGTAAATCGATTTGGCCATTCTGCGACGTGTTCTTCAAGCGCCAGAACTCCTTCTCTAAGTCACCAATATCCTATAACCAATTGGTAAATTTAGTAAATGCTTCAACAATACATTGTTTAATATCTAGCAAATTACGGATCTAACATAGCTCACCTTTTCCTCTAGATGCGTAACCCCGGCCAGACTCTGATAGAAGGTGGGCGTCTCTAGTTCGGAGGTAAGGCTGACACAATTGTCGGCAAGCAGCCACTTGGACAGGACTGTCGCACTGCGATGCTTGACTATCCATTCCTGGAACTGCTCAAAGTTGACACGTTCGCCTTGGGCAAACAAGGACACGCTTTCGAAGGGGGCCAGGTTCACGTTGCGCACATAATCAGATTTGATAATGTAGGTGCCAGCGTCATTGCAGTAAAGGTTCCACAGAAATCTACCGATGGCATAAGTCATTATTAATTATTTTAACAATTATGTGTTTATTGGAATCTACTTACTTTGTTTTCTCCTCCTGAGTGCCGCGAGTGATTAGCACCAGGCCGCACAGCAGGTCCTTGAAGGATATGCCGCGCTGTGTGCCGCCACAGGCAGTATACAGCATGTCCGTAATCTTAGGTGGGACTCCCTCGCAGAGCACATCCTGCTGGAATGCATTGCGACTGAGGTAGAGTCGACCCACGCCCGCTGATTTCTTGAAGGCATCTTTAAGACGCCGCAGCTCGGCGTCGCTAACTGTTTAAATTAAATAACAGATTAATATCGCTTGAATTATAAATAGAACACACATGAATGGGTTAATCCATATTGCCGCAAATATTACTGCTAAACTAATTTAAATTTAGATCATTTTTACTTTCTACCAGAGAACTTGCAAATTGAGACATGCACGAATTGCAAATTGTGTCTATTGCAGGAATTCTTATTGGGTAATTTAATTCTTGAATAGCAGAGATAATATATTATAAATAATATTTTAATAATACTTTGCACCATTCGGTTTTTATCAGTAACATATTATCTTTACCAATAAGCTTTAAATACTTATATAAATTTATTTTTAGCCGGGAAGAGAATAGCTTATAATTCGTATAATTATATATGTAAAAAATTTCGCACATTCAATTGGAATTAAGTGTAAACTCGTTATTTGAGAAGTGCTTAGTCATATACAAATATATATAAATCCCAACTGCAGTGTATGTATACCGTCGGGAGTCAGGCATAGGCCCTCTCATTATGTGTGTGCTCAAACGTTAAGGTAATTATAAATCACTACGTTAAAACTAGCAAACAGAACCAAAAACCAAGCAAACAAAACGCTCTCCAAGCGTAATACACGTAATCAATTAACTATACAATAAAGTACTTTTTTTAATAGAGTTCTGAGAAGGGGCGACTTGAATTACTGGGCGTGGCAATGTCGGTGCGAGTTAAACATAGGCAGCAATTCATAATCACTAATTGAGCATGAAAGGCAATGCGGAATAATTTTGTGATTGCAAAGAATTATTTACTTTGCGACGTCACGCGACCAACGGTATTTCATAGCTGGTTTTTGTTGTTGTTTTGCTGTATTGACAGAAATTTCTGCATTGCATTGCATTATGATGTGCATTTCAAACAGAGACAGAGGGACATAGGGGGAGTGTTCGGGGCAGGAACATTTCCACAATGGTCCGAACTGGGCGTGCATACGTTTTCACAAGAAACAAACCGGTCTTGGTGAGCTTTGTGTCAATAAAAGCAGCTACAACAACAACGTCAACAATCGACACCCGCACCTGGGCAACAAATATGGCCATACAGGTACAGGTAGTATATATGTATGTACATACATATGTAGACGGGGCCATCTTATCAGTAACGTTCGTTTTCTTTGCTGGTCATAAAATGACAACAACTGTGACAAGAACAACAGGAACAACAACAACAGTAGCGAGATGAATGCCAATGCAAAGCGAGAGAAAATTGGAGAAGTCAACAAAAACTTAAACGTCATTGCGTGTACATCAGATTCTAAATTATGAGAGAGAAGCAAAAATAAATATTAACAGTTTTCTGTTTTCGTTTGAATGCATGCATTGTCTGCAATTTTGCTTTGTCTCAGAGCAACATTCCTACCCCCGCTACGAGAAAAACGCGGTTGCTGTGCTTTTCTATTGTGACGTCACTGATGGCGACGACGCAAATTCTCATACACACACACATGCAAGCGGTTACACACACACACACAGCTGAAATTTGCACAAAAAATCCCAATAGAATAAGACAAAAAGAGGAAAAGAATTAGCAGTGTCCAGCAACAAAAATGCAGCAATAAAAGCATGGAAGTATAGTGGGAACCACAGTAGAATCGATAGTATAATTATAGCTGTATTGGTGACCATTATTATTGTTTTTGTTCTAGAACCTTAAGTACTTGAATGACCCATTTTCCCCCCATGTTTTGTTGTCTGCAATTCTGATAGCACCTGTCCCTATGGATATTCGACGTTAACACTTACCACGTTTGACTGCATCCTCGTAACTGATGCAAGCATGTTTAGATTCTTTTGTACCCATATTTGCCTACGGCAAATTCTTGAGTGCTGCTGCTCTGGCGTCGTCTTCGTCGTCTTGTGACTTCACTTCTTACATTTGTTTATGTTATTTGTTGCCGTTGTCGGGCCTTGAGGGTAAATCACAGACACAGAGTCATGTACATGCAAATTGCAAGTTTTTTTTTATTTTGTTTTGTAAAACACTTTGTTTTTTTTTGTCACACTTTCATTGCTTTACTAGTTTCGCGTTCGCTTATATTTTTTAACTATCAGCGTTAAGTGTGACCACGCGCATGACATAAAAATACTGTAACTTTGGGAAATTAGAAAATAAGCAGCTGTTTGGCAGTTTTATTACAATCGAAAAGCTGGCTGAATAGTTGTCTCAGCGCGTTAGCAACACTACTTATCGATAAATCGTTTCGTTTTCGTCCTACACAACACTGCTACGTACCAATCATTTATTGTTCGGGCGTAATTAGAAAGCAATAATTAAGCGTAACTTTTACGTGTAACCAACAACAACACAGCACACAGTTGCAAGTGCAGTACATATAAGTGTAAAACAGCGCGCGTCCATTTACCATTGCAATTTAAAGTGCTTAAAACTACGTCGCCATTTTTCGACATACACACAAAAGAAAACCACAGTCAAAGCTGAAAAAACCTGTGCGTGCTTGCGTGTGTTTATTTGTGTCTGCTGTGTGTGGTTACGTCTATGAATTTTTTATACATACCCTTACGTACATATAAATTAATACTAGCCCGCAGCACTAGCAGCAATAGTCAGTTATAGTAATTTAATATCCGACATTAACATAGTGTGTAATATTAATCGAAAACCACTGATTACCAACCACCGCCATATAACAAAAGCATCACCAGCAGTTATCGACGTGGACGATAACGCCAAAAAGGAAGAGAAGAAACTAAAGAGCAAATAGCTGCATCTTTATCTTTATCAAAAGAACCTGGCACAACCCTAAGCAAAACTGTGATTTAATCATACAAATACAACAAAGGAAATAAAATGGCCAAAACGTACGACTACCTGTTCAAATTGCTACTGATCGGTGATTCTGGAGTTGGCAAAACCTGCATATTGTTTCGATTCTCAGAGGATGCTTTCAATACGACGTTTATATCTACAATAGGTAAGTGTTATCAATATCCAGCATGTATACAAAACACAGAGAGGCAACAACTACAATAACAATATCAACATCCACATGAGCCAACAAACCAAACATTTCAAAGTGCATACATCATCAGTAATAGCTCTCAGTCCGTCATCCTCAGTAATCAACATTGCTCTCTCTCTCTCTCTGTATCTCGATTACGCTCTTGTGCTCTGTGAAATTTTTTAATTAATTACGACGCTGCCGGGCAGCAATCGCACAAACACAGACACAGACATACATTTGCGTATTCATGTTCATGCTCTCAATCTGGCCTCTTGGCTCAGCTGTAAGTAGCATGCACACAAACAGACATACACGAATACGTGACTCATTTTGTATGCTCTTTTTTTGTTCTCAGTAATGTTATTTGTCATAATTATATTGTTGATGTTGTTGTTGTGCTTTGGACAAGGACGTAGTGCAAAGGGGAACAGCAACAACGCACTATAAGCAAAGCTAAATATAAAAAGAAAGTGACCAATATAGTATATTTTCAATTACGTATGAATAGAGCTGCGAGCGAACATAAGTATAATAAACGGCCAAACTTGTGGAGATATTATTTTGTATACGTAATAGATATCGGTATTGCTTGTGTTTCTTTAATCAAGTGTCATTGCACCACAATCGACTATTTTCTTTTTGGACTATCTTCAAGTCAAGTCGTTGCCGCTGATAAGCATCCGCTTTACAGTAAGTCTCATTGAGAGGGGTTCTATCCACTTGATGCAGCACTGAGACACAACCCACACACATGGCACGAGCTCATCAATTTGTCTATTTATATATTTGGCACATTTCCCTGCACTAATTCCAATTTGGGTTATTTACTTAACGACGCCAACGTCTCGAATCAATTGCGTATTTTCAACTGTTGTCTCTTGCGCTCTTTTGTTGTCTTAGTTTATGTACATATGTATCTCTCTAACAGATGGAGGAGAGTAAACCAGCTGCCAAAATTTGTTTCAACTAATTTATTGCTGCTTTTATTTATCACGTGTCTTCTCTCTTGTCTTCACAGGTATCGATTTTAAAATTAGAACAATTGAATTGGATAACAAGAAAATCAAATTGCAAATATGGTAAGTTATTAATAAATAACTCTGTTGTATCATAAATGCATTAATTATAAATAATTGAAGGGACACTGCTGGTCAGGAGCGATTCCGGACGATCACCACGGCATATTACAGAGGTGCCATGGGCATTATGCTCGTGTATGACATAACACAAGAGAAATCGTTTGAGAATATCAAGAACTGGATACGAAATATCGAAGAGAATGCCGCAGCTGATGTTGAGAAAATGCTGCTGGGCAACAAATGCGAACTGAACGATAAGAGACAGGTAATTATCAATCAAGAGCAATTCAATTTATAATTCTAAAAATGTGAAAAACTCTTCTATTTTGTAGGTTTCAAAGGAACGTGGCGAACAGTTAGCCATTGAGTATGGCATTAAATTCATGGAGACCTCCGCGAAAGCAAGCATCAATGTTGAAGAAGCTTTTCTCACGCTAGCCAGTGATATCAAAGCGAAAACGGAAAAAAGAATGGTAAGTGGCCGAGAATCGTAGTCCAGATGATGACAGTATGTAATTGATTTACTTGTGCAGGAGGCGAACAATCCACCGAAGGGCGGCCATCAGCTGAAACTAACAGAGATTCGAACAAAGGATAGTTGGCTGTCGAGATGCAGTTTGCTTTGACGTGGCAATGTGCGTGTGGCACTGATGCGGCATGGTGGAAATAATAATGATAATGTATGTGGTAGTAGTTTTCTTAACTCCTGTTAAGTCCCAATAACAACAACCAAGCGAGCAAACACCCCTGAATATGCAACATAATGAAATAATACATAATTATAATAATATAATAATAGAACAGATATAAAATTGTATATGCGAACGAGACATGGCGATAAGAGATGTACGAAATATGCATAAATATACATCTATACACATATAATATTCATTAAACGTAAAAAAAGGAAAAAGAAGCAAATAATAATACGAGCATTGTGAGTAGCGTAAAGAAACTGAAAGGTTAACGAAACAACAACAAAATTACAACCCGCCCACGCCCTGCCCTTGCTCCGATCGGTTACAGTTTTCGTTTTACTATACTTTGCACTTTCCATGTATAATTTTTAAATTTTCTGTCGAAAGCCATGGTTGTTCACGATTTGTAAAAGAATGACAAAACAATAAAGTAGAAAATAAATATATGTATTCTTATATTGTATACATATTTCATTTCCGTTTGCTCTACATCTATGCTCATTTATAAATAGTTAATTGTATTTAATTTTTACACTTTTCGTTCGACATCAAACAACTCATGAAAGGCTCACAGTTCGCAGGACGCAATTTAGACTCAGACGCACAATTTTTATATCGATCCACTTAGATATTGCAAGTTCTAATAGTTGCGGGTGCTTCATAATACATTGTCAATAAACATACCGTTAATCTTTAATGGAATCCATGAATATGGTTAATATTTGTGCGAGTATATGGAAATAATAAAAAATATATGCGCATATGCAATACGAAAAAAAAAAAACAATGCGAAGATAAAGAATAAATGCAGAGCAGTAAAATACATATTGTGAAATTAATTGATAACTAAATCTAAATGCATATTTGATATTAATTAATTAAATAATTATGTATGTACTTGTAATATTAATTATTAAACGTATACAATTTTATAAAATAAATCATGTGCAAAAATGCATTATTTATTACAAATTTACAATTTTTCGGCAGATTTCTGTGACCCTCTATAACCAATTCACTTACCTTTATTTTATTTAAAGCATTTATATTTATTTAAGAAGTAGCAGGCAGCTGCCGCTGAAAGAGTAAGATTCTCAGGAGTTCTTCATAGTTGTGATAAAAATTTTGATAGTCATTTATTAAATGCATAGATTTGGAAAATGCATTTTAATTTGTTGAAATCAGTTCTTAAATTAAAACATAGAATTGGAAAACTTAAGCGTAAATACAATTAATTGTAAGATTACAATAATGGAGCAGAGCAAATCACACACACTCCCAAGAGCACTCGCAAAACACATGCACACACAGAAAGACAGAGATTGGGACTGATAAGTTGACTCCAGACAGGTATTAGGATATGCGTCTCAGATACATACATTGAACAACAAACGTAATATATATAATAATAAAAATATGCAAATAGTGGAAACATATAGGACATGAAAAGAAAATTGCACTAATTGTTGTGCGGGACGGCCCTCAAGATTGTTTTTGATGGGCTCCGGGTTACGCCTGCGGAACATTCTGGTAGTAGGTAGCGAGTATTTTCCAAGCCTGCGGCTCCATGAACCCATCGGGCGGATTGGCTCCGGTTTTGGCCAGTGTGCGCATTTTGGTGCCAGAAATAAACTCGAATTGTTCCTTGCGTTCTGGTTCAAAGAACGCCATTCGGCTGGCGGACTTGTCATAGGCAGCCACCCGAAAAGGTAAGATCTGAAAGGAAGAGAGTATTGTACTTAATTAGTTTACGATTCATTGCAGTTGAGATTTGTATTATACTCACCTCCATGCTGTCTAATCCTTGAGCCATTTTGAGCACACGTGCGCCGTGCGTTGCATCGTAGAGATTGCCATCGGGATAAGCATCTTTGTCGGGATGCGGCATGCCTGCCGGATCGCGTCCCACTATATAGAAGTTGGCCCCCGCATTCATGCGCGCCTTTGCATGCCATTGCACCTCAGTGGGCCCGGCGTACATCATGGGCGATGGGAATATGGCCAGCACGGTGTCCTCGCGCCGTAAGACTCCCGAATCGAGCACCGCTTGATGCTGCGCCATGCGCACCTGCAAAGGCACGTCATCGTCCTTGGTCCAGCCGCCAAGTGGATGCAGCAGCAGCACAGGCTGCTTAAATCCACGCTCCAGCAGCTGCCGCTTGGTGTCCTGCATAAGCAGCGCGTGTCCATTGTGGATGGGATTACGCAGTTGGAAGGCAAAGATAGCATCCGCATTCATCTCCTTGAAGCGGGAGCGTAGCTCATTGGGCGTCAGCCTATACTGATCGAGACCATCTTTCCAGCGTATGCGCTCGATGACCGACAGCTCGCCTCCGACCAAATACTCGCCAGACTCGTACACCTGTTTGCTGTACGGATGATTGGGATTGCTGGTGCCAAACTGACGACACAGACGTTCCTCTTTCCGCTGGAAATAAAACTCAGGGCGACGAAGTATGGCCACCGCTTGACCTTTGTGGTGCAGCGTTATGGCTGCCTCTCCTTCCAGGCGTTGCTTATCTGCTTCACTGGCGCTGAGAACGATGGGCACCGAGTGGTTCTCGCGGTAGGAAACATCTAAGCCACTCTGCAGCGTATTGAAATGCAGCGTCTGCAGATATTCGTCCTCTCGCATAAAGCCACGCAATGGATAAGCCCAGCCTTCAGAGAGTACCTGCACCCATTGGAGCTCAACGGTGCTAATAGATAGCGCCGGCAGGGACTTAGCCTCTTGCCTCAGCTCCTCCACTTCGCTAGCCTCGCTGGGATACAGCTCGGGCAGCAGATCCACATCCCGTAGAGAGCGTGGTATGATGCCCTCATGCTCCAGAAGCGCAACGAGCTGCTGCGTAGATTCGCGCACCGTGCAGTCGTGCGTACTGACCACCAGTTCCGGGTGCTGGGGTCGCTCATACTCCTGCGTGATGCCCGTGAAACCTTTGATGACACCCTCGCGTGCCTTCTTGTACAACCCCTTGACATCGCGCGTTTCGCACACTGACAACGGCGTGTCCACAAAGATCTCGAAGAACTTTAGTCCCGCATCCTTGTGTATCTTGCGGGCCATCTCGCGATCGTCCGCAAAAGGCGAGACAAAACTGCAGATGGCTACGACGCCACTGTCAGCAAACAACTTAGCCACCTCGCCCACCCGCCGTATGTTCTCCTCCCGATCGGCCGGCGTAAAGCCCAGATTCTTATTCAAGCCGGTGCGTATATTATCGCCATCCAAGCCATAGGCGGGAATGCCTCGCGAGACCAGATACGCTTCCAGCTCAAAGGCGATCGAAGTTTTGCCAGCGCCACTAAGACCTACAACAAAATTATGGCATATACGTATAAGTTAAGATTGGCTATAAATAAAGCTAGAAATGATGGTAATAAACTATTGGCATTCAAAATTAATAAGATCTGTTGACTGAGATACATATAATATAATAATTATATAATTAATTATTCCAATATTCTTAGCTATATACCTGTTAGCCAGACGGTGCAGCCCCTAAAGCCGCGGCACAGCCCCAGGTTCCTGCCCCGCGTCTCCCGGGTGACATGGTGCTTCTGTTCCGTCACATTCGTTGCGACCTGGAGGCACTGCAAAAGACAACAAAATCAAATTGTTATGCCAATACAATGGAATTCTGCGTTGCTGCGGGCATTTGGAGAAATTAACATAAATTAATATTCATGCCCGACATCGGCTAGAGGTTTGAGACTCTTATTTTGACCCTAAGGCGCTATTTGTGCCGTTCGATTCGCTGAATCTGCACAGTTTGTTGACCCTCTTGGACGGGCTCACTCGCCAGCTCGCCAACTCGTGTGTGAAAAATCGCAAATGCTGTTACACAGAGGGAATATGAGATAATGATACGATATATATAAACATATACACATATGTGTATATTTATATATACATATGTATGTGCATATTCAATAGATAGATGACAGCAAATCATTACAAAGGCATTCAATGAACGATCAGTCCATGGAGCTTATACCAATACACCTTTCCCTTAAGACAAATAATAAGTGGCTCATTACGAAAAAAGAGAAAATCTTTTCAAGATTCTATTGGACTTTAGAAAAATATATATATTTTTTAATTAACATTGCTTAAAGAGCATATTAAAATATAAATTGATGTACTTATATTTTAATACATTCCACATATTAATCACCTTACTGCTATTAAACATTGCTTAATTGGTATGCATTAAATATTGCCACATATTTATCACTTTTCTTCCATTCAAATAGTCAGTCAAACACCGTCTAACTACGCCTTCTACAGGGTAGGCAAGAGCCGTCCTTCATCTCAGCACTCAGTTCTATAATAGTTAGATTTTGTTGGCAATTAAATTTAGGTCAAGGCACACTTAACGTCAACTTGATTCTTAAACACATTTTATATTTTTTTGCAAGGCACTTCAGTTCTTTTTATGAAACAGCTTAGAGTGCGCAAGCGCAGATCTCTTAAATCGTCTTGACAGCTTGAGGCATACCCTTCTTTTGATATGAGGGAAAAATCCAATGGGCGGATTGGGCATGATTTAGCTTTCTCTGCTTGATGCTAAATGAAATTTGTTATATTTGATGCACTTGAGCACTGGCCGAAGAAATGAAATAGATAGATGCGTGTATATATATAAGATGGTATTTTATCGAGCGGAAATTGATCTCAGTTAAATATTCACGCAACGAGCGCTGAAAGCGAACTGAAAGTTTTAATAAAATATTTACCGTGTTATATGTCGACCCGACCCGAACTAAGTCACCGAGAGCTATTGAGAGAGAAAGAGCGTCAAGCCGAGTGCTTCACGCTCGTCTGACTTTCGGCTCGGTTCCATCTGGTTTTAAGATCGGTTTTCTATCTGCCAAGCCAAGCCGTCTTCGTTCATGTATTTTTGTTTTTCGTTTGTTGTGTTTACTTTATTATGAAAGAATGTTTAACAATTTGTTTAACCATTTTTCTTCTTCTCTTCTTCTTTATTATTTTTCTGTTGAATTATTCCGGCATTATTAAATAGTTAAAAATACAATTATATTTTTTATTTTTAAATACAAGTTTTTCTTTTAACAAAGATTCTCAGAGCAAGTCAAGCATAAAATAGTGCATTAAAGAAAAAAAAAAAAAAAGTACAAAAATAGTGAATAAATATTAGAAAACGTCAATAAAATATTTACTTGACGAATATTGGTTGAACAGTTTAATAAATACAAATTGATTAGATTTTTTTATGCTTAGGCAATAAAATACAAATTCCTAAGTTTGCCTAACAAATTTCTCCCCATATAAATTATATTGGCAAACCAAATTGTGTATAATGCAAAATTAAAAAATAAACATTAAATAAAACAGCCTAACTAGAAGATACCTCGTAAATTGACTTGTATTGAATGAATATGTATTTCATATTATTTCTACTTTATATAATATTAATATTAGAGTATTTCGAATTTGTATA